AGCGAGCCTAAGCCAGCAGGTGGACATCCTCCGAGGGGTCCCAGACTGCAAGAGGGCATAGGCTGGGCTGAGGGACCCCCCTGAGTGCACAAAGTTTTGTGCACCAGGCCTCTAGTATAAATATATAATGCTTTATTAGTTTTTTCTAATAAATAGAGAGAAGCATGTAAGCAAATTTACTTGTAACAATATTAATATTTTATATCTTCATTATAAAGACAGATACTAATATTAAATTTCCTTATTACTATTTCAACATGATTCAATTTCTAAATTGCTTATTCTATGTTATATAGATTTTAAAGTTTTAGCACAACAGGAATACACAAACTCCTTGCTTTATAGTAAATTGTCACATATCTTTTTAAAAATATATTTTTATTGATTTCAGAGAGGAAGGGAGAAGGAGAGAGAAATAGAAACATCAATGAAGAGAGAGAATCACTGATTGGCTGCCTCCTGCAGGCTCCGCACTGGGGATCAAACCCACAACATGGGTATGTGCCCTTGGCTGGAATCGAACCTGGGACCTTCAGTCCATAGGCCGATGCTGTATCCACTGAGCCAAACCAGCTAGGGCCTGTCACATATCTAACACAGTATAAAACAATGCTCAATCACAGGAAATACCAATAAAAGAGTTGTAATCCATCAAAGTTATTTTAGGCACTAATCAATAATTATGTGTAATTCAAATGATACAATATTTTATCTTAGTGGCACTACAGGTAATTTTACTCTAAAGAGTGAGAGAAAATTTTCAGAGGAAAGAAAGTAAATATATCATCCTTGAAAGCAAAATATGAAACATGGGTATAAGAAATCTCTTTTTATTTTATCCATATAAGAACTTGCCAGTGCTCTGCATTCATCAAAACAGAAAATGTTTCTGCGTTCACCACAAGAATACCGAAAAATGAGAGAGAAGTTCTCTTTTAAAAATGCCTTTAGGAACCATTACTGCCACAATGAAAAATAAATACAAACAAAAGGAAACAGACTGTAAAGCTCATCACATTCATGTGGACAATTATTTGATGTGATCTCAGGGCCCTACACTGTTTAAATGTACCTGGTTTCATCAAGTGAGTGAAATAAAAGAACAAAAGCAAGCATTTTAAGTCATAAACTTCATTCATTGGCGGAATACTTAGTTTGGAGGAGTAAACGTTTAAATAATAAAATGCTTTAAAAAGAAATTCCATTTTAATAATTTCATGTATCAAGATAGATAAGACGAATGGCTAAAAAGTGTTCTAAATTAAGTTCTTAATCCTTTCTGCTTTAATCAGGCTCACTTTTTTGGTAAATGAAAGTTGATTATGCTAAAATACTTACATGAGTGCCACCATGTGTATATTTCCTGTAAGAATGCTTGAATTACTGCATTCTCCTCTGATAGACGGTGTGCTGTTATTTTTCCTTCTAGTTGAAGAGTCTCTCCTCAGCCAGCCTTCCTGTGGTTCTGGGTGATGTCCGTTCCGTCTTTTAGTTGTATTTTTTTGAAGTTTGTTTGCGGCAGCAGTCTGCGGTGTTTACCTATGCCGCCATCTTGGTCTCTCTCCAGATTTTAAAGTTTTAGCACAACAGGAATACACAAACTCCTTGCTTTATAGTAAATTGTCACATATCTTTTTAAAAATATATTTTTATTGATTTCAGAGAGGAAGGGAGAAGGAGAGAGAAATAGAAACATCAATGAAGAGAGAGAATCACTGATTGGCTGCCTCCTGCAGGCTCCGCACTGGGGATCAAACCCACAACATGGGTATGTGCCCTTGGCTGGAATCGAACCTGGGACCTTCAGTCCATAGGCCGATGCTGTATCCACTGAGCCAAACCAGCTAGGGCCTGTCACATATCTAACACAGTATAAAACAATGCTCAATCACAGGAAATACCAATAAAAGAGTTGTAATCCATCAAAGTTATTTTAGGCACTAATCAATAATTATGTGTAATTCAAATGATACAATATTTTATCTTAGTGGCACTACAGGTAATTTTACTCTAAAGAGTGAGAGAAAATTTTCAGAGGAAAGAAAGTAAATATATCATCCTTGAAAGCAAAATATGAAACATGGGTATAAGAAATCTCTTTTTATTTTATCCATATAAGAACTTGCCAGTGCTCTGCATTCATCAAAACAGAAAATGTTTCTGCGTTCACCACAAGAATACCGAAAAATGAGAGAGAAGTTCTCTTTTAAAAATGCCTTTAGGAACCATTACTGCCACAATGAAAAATAAATACAAACAAAAGGAAACAGACTGTAAAGCTCATCACATTCATGTGGACAATTATTTGATGTGATCTCAGGGCCCTACACTGTTTAAATGTACCTGGTTTCATCAAGTGAGTGAAATAAAAGAACAAAAGCAAGCATTTTAAGTCATAAACTTCATTCATTGGCGGAATACTTAGTTTGGAGGAGTAAACGTTTAAATAATAAAATGCTTTAAAAAGAAATTCCATTTTAATAATTTCATGTATCAAGATAGATAAGACGAATGGCTAAAAAGTGTTCTAAATTAAGTTCTTAATCCTTTCTGCTTTAATCAGGCTCACTTTTTTGGTAAATGAAAGTTGATTATGCTAAAATACTTACATGAGTGCCACCATGTGTATATTTCCTGTAAGAATGCTTGAATTACTGCATTCTCCTCTGATAGATAGGCTCATCCCTGAAAAAATTGAGGGTCAGAGGCAGGGTGCCCCTGAGGGAATGAGGTTATTTCTTTCACGTTGGAAGCCGACTGGAAATCTGAACTGAGGTGGTGTGGTCGGGGCCTCTGGTCGGGACCTGGGACTGTGCTCCTGGGAGTGGAGTTATTACAAAGCCACTTGCCAAGTGAAGGAGCCCAGACCAGAGCTAAAAAGGGTGATTCCAGTGGCAGGTGACAAGCTACCATACCAGACCAAGAGCTAAAAAAAGGGTGATTCCAGTGGCAGGTGACAAGCTACCATGTGGAAACTGCATGCTGCATCAGACTATTACCCATCAAGGCCCATGTTCCGTTTAATTCTGTTCTCTGCACAGAGCCTTTACTGCAAGCGTATTTGAACACGTCTGCCTCGTCTCAGGTCTGCTGCAGGGCAAGGCCATTCATTCAAAAGCAGCTTTCCACCGTGAGACTCCCTCTTCCCATTAGGACAGCATCTTTTAATTCGGGGTTATATTTTTTCTATTAAGTCATGAATCCCCCTAAAACTTTGCCTTTATTATTAATTTGGTTTAAAATGTTTAATAAAAATGTCCATGTGAATAATTCACATGGACAGTACTACATGAATACTAGTATAAAGTGATATTATTCAGTTTCACTCCAGCCTATGTTTAAATGATCATAAAATCCAGATTTTTCTTTTTATTCTTTAAGTAGAAACAGTGATAATGGTCTTCTATGTTTAAAAATCGAAGCACTTACACAAAATAGCAATATATTAAAACTCCTAAACTAGGAGTCAGCAAAGTTTGTCTATAAAGGGCCAGAGAGTAAATTCTTTAGTCTTTGGAGGCCACATGGTCACTGCTACATCTACTTAATTTTGCCACTGTCGTACAAAAGTGGCCACGGACAATACATAAGTGAATGAATGGATGTGTTCCAACAGAACTTTATTTACAAAAATGGGTGGCTGGCCAGATTTGCTGACCCTTGCTCCAAACAATTTTATAAAGTAGGTAAGAAGGGTATTATTACCCATTTTAAAAGATGAAGAACCCTAAGCTCAGTCAGTTAAACACAAACCATGGGCCAGTCTCTGGAAATACAAATGGGAACAAGACATGGTGTCCACCTTGAGTGGTAGTGCCGTAGTGTAGAGCCCTTTCTAACTGTGTGAGCTGGGCAGTCACCTAACTGCCCAGCCTCAGTTTCCTCACCTGAAAAATGGGGAAAATACCTATATCTCACCAAAAGGTTACTGTGACATTTACCTACATGACTGGCACAAACTAAACATTCAATGTATGTTTTATTATTACTGATTTTGTTACTATCATACTTGCAATTTGAATAAACTGAAGAGGGAAATAGAGACCCCATTCCTAAGTTTGCTTGGGGAGGATAGAAAAGATGTCTAAATTCAATAAATAAGGTCTTAAAAAAATAAGCAACTTCTGCTGCTGTAAAAATAATGGGTAACAGAGGGAACAGCATGAGCACATACGTGGGCACAGGGGATGGCACAACCATCTGGGCCAGGGTGAGTGGCAGAGCATGGTGGAAATGTGCTGTCTATGACGGATACAGGAAAGACAGCTTGAAGAAATAAATCAGAAAGGGTCCCAAATGCATGCTAAGGTGCATGGGCTTTCTACAGTTAGACCCAGGGAACCTGACGTTTTTAACCTAGAGAATGACATGACTAGGTAATCCCTCCAACAGTATTTAAGGAGACAGGAGAGAGGAAGTGTTACTGGCCCAATTGGAGATAATGGCTAGAATAAGGCCGTGGGCATGGAAAACACTGGAGAGCCAGTCTGACAGGTGTGAGATGGTACCTCATTGTTGTTTTGATTTGCATCTCCCGGATGATTAGTGACTTTGAGCATGTTTTCATATGTCTCTTGGCTTTCTGAATGTCCTCTTTTGAAAGGTGTCTATTTAGATCCTTTGCCCATTTTTTGATTGGATTGTTTATCTTCTTTTTGTTAAGTTGTATGAGTTCCCTATAAATTTTGGAGATTAGGCCCTTATCAGATATAATGTTGGCAAATATGTTCTCCCATGTAGTGGGCTTTCTTGTTGTTTTGTTGATGGTTTCTTTTGCTGTGCAGAAACTTTTTATTTTGATGTAGTCCCATTTGTTCATTTTCTCTTTAGTTTCAACTGCCCTAGGAGCTGTATCAGTGAAGAAATTGCTTTGGCATATGTCTGAGATTTTGTTGCCTTTGGATTCTTCTAGAATTTTTATGGTTTCCTGTCGTACATTTAAGTCCTTTATCCATTTTGAGTTTATTCTTGTGTATGGTGTAAGTTGGTGGTCTAGTTTCATTTTCTTGCATATATCTGTCCAATTTTCCCAACACCATTTATTGAAGAGACTACCTTGGCTCCATTGTATGTTCTTGCCTCCTTTGTCAAATATTAATTGAGCATATTGGTTCGGGCTAATTTCTGGACTCTCTATTCTATTCCACTGATCTATATGTCTGTTCTTGTGCCAGTACCAGGCAGTTTTGAGAACAGTGGCTTTGTAATACAGCTTGATATCTGGCATTGAGATCCCACCTACTTTGTTCTTTCTCAGGATCGCTGCAGCTATGGAAAAAGGACACATATGTAATACCCTTTGTAATACTTTAAGCAAAAAAAAAAAAAGTTAAAAAAAAAGAAAACACTGGAGAGGTATTTGCGGGGAGCTCTACAGTAAGATGCAGTGATTTTTGTAAATGCACAGTATGTCTCTAATTAGATTGCAAGCCACTTAAGAGTAGAAAGGATGCCTCTCCTCAAATTGCCTAACACAGTGGTTGGCAAACTCATTAGTCAACAGAGCCAAATATCAACAGTACAACGATTGAAATTTCTTTTGAGAGCCAAATTTTTTAAACTTAAACTATATAGGTAGGTACATTGTTATTAACTTAATTAGGGTACTCCTAAGGCTTAGGAAGAGCCACACTCAAGGGGCCAAAAAGCCGCATGTGGCTCGCGAGCTGCAGTTTGCTGACCAGGGGCCTAACACCATAGTGGACGGTCCTCCCTGTGTGAACCAGAACCTGGACTAAAATGATTGTAGTTTGCTCACCTCTAAAGTAAAGGTAACAACCATCACTTTCCTTACATCTTATAATGGTGGCAATAAAAAGTGGTAACACATACATACTGAAATCCGGACCACAGATAAGCCATCTCACAAAAGTTCTTGACGTGTATCTAATGAACTACAATAATTCACGCATTCACCCATACTGACTACTATGTGCCAGCACACAGACAACAGATCAGCTAAGATGGTACATAGCAAGTACTCAAATTCCATTAGTTCAGTGGGCATCTCAGCCACGCGAATGAATTGTTCAGGTGGTTGTGGCTGGTGTATTAATTATATCACCCCATTTCTCTTACCTTCACCTCTTATTTCCCACCTTGAAATCATTTTATTGAACTCAACTTCCTTTATCAGAAATGGAAAAAATAAGGCAATAAAAGGAGATTGAGCTCAGTCAGTGGCTTAGCTAAAATTAAACAGAAGCGAAAGGAAAGGAGAAAAACTATTGCTAAGAATGTGGCTTCTTTAATGCTTAATGATTCACATCATATCTGGCACTAATTAGTAGAGACCAATGAGTCATCTGTTTAAGTACTTACTCCTTTCACACAAAACCGCAACAAGATACACTTTTAAAATTACATCTTTTATTGACATTTTTAAATAAAATAAAGTCAGGGCAGCTAAACAAATATTTCTTTCCACTTTTGCTACTGCCCTTTTGAATTTTAGGCACTGCTCTGGACATAGGGGCTCAAAGATTAATAAGACCTGGTCACTGAACTGGTTCGTAAAGCTACTCTTCTTGCTGGTTCAGATGTTGGAGGTAAATTTTTCATTGGAAAATTCATGTGAGAATTTAGGTGTAAAGCCAATTTTCTCCTGTAATCTGAGAAAGCATCAAAGGTGTTTTCTGTGGGCTTTCGCATTGAGCTCAAGTTTAGATTGTTTAACTGTGTTGAAAGCCAACGGGAGAAATAGCAATCATCAAAGAGTGTCCTGGGATTTTCATTTATGACTTTTAGTAGACATCAAAGAAGATGAGGTTGGTTTCTGCTTCAGCAATAGCCCTCGTGGGAAATTACCCAAGGCCTTCATGATGATTATTTATTCATGTAACGTGGAGACTATTAGAAGAGGAGGTAAAGGTTTATATCTGGTGTGTTAAAATTGCTGGGAGACTAATATGCAATTATAAATATTACTTCTGGCTGTCAGAGCAAAACCCTAAGACTCTTACATGATCTGATGGTGTACTATGGAACATAATAAGATGCTACTCCAAAGCACTGGATTTTAAGTTAAGAAATCAAGATAAAAAATTTTAAATCAATCTTTAGAACTACTCATCTGAAATGTTTTCTAAATTCACTCCTGAATATAGATGCTTTTTAGGATAAAGTGCCTATCACACAGCAGGCGCTTGGCACACATTAGCTGGCCTAAGTGAGGGCCGGCGATGTGTTCGAGGACTGACCTTCAGAAGCATTTCCTCGTGTTGGGGGTTATCAGAATCATAGGGCTCTCTGCGCAGCTTTTCCACATCTGCAATAAGGTTTCTGTAGCCAACGATCTGCAGGAGGCAAGCCTGGAGAGAGATTCCCAGCCTGTGGTGTTCAAAAAGGAAGAAACACACATGAAGAGAAGCATAACATACGTTGGCATTTGTTCACTTGATGTAATCACAGCAGGACTTGTCCTATTTCTCTAATATCTAGGGAATTGCCCAAATAGCATCTGTCTAATAGAAGCACAGTTTCTTACTGCATCTGCATGGACAGTTGTAGAACTTGGCTAAAACTTACCTCGCATTCTGGCCTTTTCTTAAGCTATGTTGCAACAATGCGGCTTACGAAACAAGGGATTTTTGTTCTTAATCCTCACCCAAGAATATTTTCCCATTGATTTTTAGAGAGAGTGGAAGGGAGGTGGAGAGACAGAGAGAGAAACATCAATCTGAGAGAGACACATCGATTGGTTGTCTCCTGTTCTTGCCTCTACTGCGGATCGAGCCTACAACCGAGGTAGGTTGACCGGAATCAAATCCACAACCCTTCAGTCTGCCTGACACTCTGTCCACTGAGCCAAACCGACTAAGGCAAGGGAGTTCTTGATGCAGGTGATTTGCAAGTGAGATGCAGAACATATAGGTGATAATGGGTTCCTAGGGATCATTTAATCCCCACTAGGTGGGTATATCAGAACACTTCAGAAGTGTGTGTGTGTGTGTGTGTGTGTGTGTGTGTGTGTACAGACTCAAAGGGAGAAATAGCTCTCAGCGGCTTAGGAGTAGAAAAAAAAATTCAAAATACCTCTGCTTGGGAGCATTCTTAACAGATAGGCAATGCCAAGAGTAAGAACTCACTATTTTACAAGATTTGCCATTTCATCCTGACTTCTCTAGTTGCTGAAACACTTTTCTTTAGGCTGAAACAAAATCTGTTTTCCTTGTTACCAAGTGGTTCAGACTCTGTTCTCTGAGCAAATGTATTTCCACCTTTCCCCCACCGTGCCTATTTATTTTGAGATAGTGATTCTTTCTTCTAGTCATACCTGCAGTGTTTAAAAAAATTCCCTGTTCCTTTAATTCCTTCTCATGTGACATGGTTTTAGGTGTTACTATCTTGCTCAGTCTTCTCTGAATGTACACTGTTTAACAGCCCATGACAACATATCACCGGAACAGAAAACAGTCTGGCAAGCGTGATACACAATCATTACTTCCTGTGATCTGAATGCTGCTTTTCTCTTCTACAACCTAGGACAGTGGTCGGCAAACTCATTAGTCAACAGAGCCAAATATCAACAGTACAATGATTGAAATTTCTTTTGCGAGCCAAATTTTTTAAACTTAAACTATATAGGTAGGTACATTGTTATTAACTTAATTAGGGTACTCCTAAGGCTTAGGAAGAGCCACACTCAAGGGGCCAAAGAGCCGCATGTGGCTCTCGAGCCGCAGTTTGACGACCACTGACCTAGGAGGTAAAATAGGGTCTCTTTAAGCAGTCACAAAACACTGCAAGCTTATTAAACAGATGGCTAACTAATCACAAAGATTCTTTTTTCATATAAACTACTGTCACATAAATTATTCTCCTACATTCATTTGATGGCATTTTAAATCTAAAAGTGGTATTTCACGTTGACTTATTCCTGTTAAATTCTTTACAGTCATTTAGCTTTTGGGTTAAAATAGTTGAACGTTGGCAACTTCTTATGATTTAACCCAAGAGTTACTCTTTGGTATACTCCTACTCCTAATTCACTCACTAAATTTGAACATTTTTGTTCTTGTGGTGGTCATTATAATCATGATGACAGTGTTATCATTACCTTTTTTGGGGGGAAGGGAATAAGATGTATAGAAAGTTAAGACTAAAGTTGGGGGCAATAGATAATTATGTTTTAAAATTATATACTTACTCCAAATGTAGAGGACAATGTAAGATAACCCAGAATGCTAAACTTAAATAAAACTGAATACTCAATTAAATGACCCTTGTTACCACAGGACCAAAAAACCAAATCAGATATCTTAATATAGGAAAAGTGAACAGTGGCACTGGGCACCCAGGAAACCAGCACAGGACTGAAAGAGTTAATTTTGAGGGAAAGAAGAGAGTGGGAGAAATTAAAGAAGAGGCCACCAGAGAAGCCAATTCAATTTTTACTGTAGTGATTCTTATCAGCAGCTTAAGCAGCACTTGAAAAAATGTAATTAAAACAAATAATTAAAAGAAAGTGAGGTTGCCCTGGCCTGTGTGCCTAAATGGTTAGAGTATGGGCCTGTGCGCTGAAAGGTCATGGGTTCGATTCCTGCAGGTACCTGAGTTGGAGGTTTGATCCTTGGCCCCAGTCATGCACTATGCAGGAGGCAACCAATCTATGTGTCTCTCTCACATCAATATTTCTCTCTTTCTCTCTCTTCCTCCCTCCCTCCCCTCCACTCTTTCTAAAAATCAATGGAAAAAGTGAGGATTAACAAAAACAAAACAAAAACCAAAGGGAGGTTAATAGTAGTAATGACTTGATAAATTATAAAATATTTCCCCTAGCCCTCTCTATTTCTTGATTTTTTTCCAGAAAATTATTTAAATTTTAAAAATCACATTTTGTCAATGTCTATCTATGGAAAAAAAGTAGCAAAATCCATATTGAGGTGTAAAAACACAATCTCCTACCTATAAGGTTTTTTTTTCTAAAGGAAATCAAAAGAACAGATGTCAAGGAAATGCTTTTGAGTGAAACATGTATCTTTCATAGAAGAGACAGAAAAGATTTGCTATTAAATCTAATCCGACCTCTAAATGTGATTATAGGTCTAATATATCCCTCATGCCGAATGGTAGTCTTACATTTTTTTGTTCAACTTAATTTAAAATAAATTGTCTTATTATCACCTTCCCAGAGATATAAAATATATGTCAAAAGGTTTCAAAAAGACATTTACTGCATAATTAAACCACCTTTAATGGCTGAATAAGAAAAAGGCAGCTAATTAGCTGGTGTCTGCAGAAGAATGGTACAGAGCCCACGTGGAAATGGGAGTTTTGTGAGGAGCCCCAATTAGCTGGTACTTAGAATCCCTCCAAGAGACAGACATATGCAAAGTGCACTCTGAAATTCCCTTGACTACAGCTCCCTGTCGCTGGCAATGAAAAGCCTTTCTCAGGGACAACATCTGAAGTTCTCATGCATATCTAAAAGACAGCTTGATTGTTACCTGCCTAAACTGTCTCTAAATATATCTGCACGCAGAATTTATTCTACCCAATATCCTTAGCTCATTTTTTTTCCACTGAAAAATTTCTGTTCCCAGTAGAATATGTGAAGCTAATTTTAAATGTCATGTACATTGCCGAATGCATTTTAATACTTCCAAGATGAGATGAATAAATTACAAAGTTCGAACGTCTTCTTACAAAAACTATCTCTTCCTCCCACACATGCCCCCCCCCCCCCTCTTGGTTTTAAACTGTAAGGTCAGAAGTCTTCTACAGGACTCACTGGGCTAAAATCAAGGTATTCATGCCTGTCCTTTTGACAAGCAGGTAGGGACTGTCTCTGGATTTTCAGCCTGTCATGAACTGACGGAGCAGAATTGGCTCAGGCACATTTACAATTTAAACTTGGACTGCACCGTAAAACACGGGCATTGCATGGAGTGACTTGATGAATGGGCCCCCTTTATTTCAGCTGATACCAGAGCATCCATCATATTTCTTACATTCATTGCATCTCAAAGCATAAGCATAAATCACAACAAAGTACAAGGTTGCTGCTATTTACAAATATGGAAATGGCACCTTTTTCTTTATTCTTCATCTGAAATTCAAAACATTAGAAATGATTGGGGGTTGGGGAGGTGAAGAGATAGATAGGTACTAGTAAGTAGATAGATAGATAGAGAAAGCAAGCAAGCATGCTATAGAAATAATGAATATGAAGCCATGACTTGTGTTCTATATTTACAAAATAATAAGCATAATTCTTACTGTGGATTTATATCAGGGTTAATTTTTTTCAGTTCCATGATGTCTTCGATAGTTTTTTCAATAGCATCAAGGTGAACACTCACTGAAGTCTGCAACAGCTAGAAAACATGTTTCAATCATTTCCCTTGTCATGAACACCAGTGGCTTAAGCAGGATTTATTTAGGGTCTACTTAGCAGTGGTTCTCAACCTTCTGGCCCTTTAAATACAATTCCTCATGTTGTTACCCAACCATAAAATTATTTTCATTGCTACTTCATAACTGTAATGTTGCTACTGTTATGAATCGTAATGTAAATATCTGATATGCAGGATGGTCTTAGGCAACCCCTGTGAAAGGGTCATTCGACTGCCAAAGGGGTCGCGACCCACAGGTTGAGAACCGCTGACTTAGGAGCTTCAAGTATTTGTTTAAAGCTTCTCCATGAAGATACTAACCTAAACTAAAATTAAAGAAAAAATTGATTTAGTAGTTGAATTCCAGTGAATTTGACATTTTCACGATCGGGGTAGTATACTTTTCCTGATTAAGGTAATACCATAAAACAGAAATAGTAAGTTGTGGGGTTTTTTTGTTTGTTTGTTTGTTTTTTACCATTTTCAACTGTTTTAAATTACTTATTAAAATATTATATTTTCATTTTCTCTCTCAACATACCTGGTTTCTATTGTTACTGGGCACTATGTCTACAATTGAGAGAAGTACAAAGGGGATATAGTCTTAAGGACACCAAAATCTATATATATAAAAGCCTAAGCAACTGAACGACTGAACAACCGGTCACTATGACGTGCACTGACCACCAGGGGGCAGACGCTCAATGCAGAAGCTGCCCCCTGGTGGTCAGTGCGCTCCCACAGCAACCTCCCGCAATTGGCCAACCTTCCGCGGCCCCTCCCCTCCTCGCTGGCCAAACTCCTGTGGCCCCGATCGGCCCCCAATAGCCGGCCAGGCCGAGGGACCCCACCCATGCACGAATTTGTGTACCAGGCTTCTAGGCCTATCTAATAAAAATGAAATATGCAAATTGACCATCACACCATCACAAAGATGGTGGCACCCATAGCCACAAGATGGCGGTGCCAAGTCCCCTCAGCCCCGCTGGAGTCCCACAGTCCTTTCAGCTCAGCCGAGGGGGGGGGGCAGACGCATGGTGCGGCTGGACCCGCCCTCAGCCCCCCAGCCGCATAGGGCTGTCCCGAGGCGCAGGCAAGCCTCAGATGGCGGCTGCCCAGCCGCCCAGAGCTGCTCGAGGCTCAGGTAACCAGAGCTGGCCGAGGCTTGCGCTGCCAGCAGTGGCAGCAGCAGAGGTGTGATGGGGGGGCGCCTTCCTCTGATCACCGGGTCGCCTCCCACCCCTGAGGGCTCCTGGACTGTGAGAGGGGTTAGGCTGGGCTGAGGAACCCCCCCCTCCAGTGCATGAATTTTCATGCACCGGGCCTCTAGTTAAATAATAATATTCAAGAATCTTGAGGAAAAAAACAACCAATTTTCTCTCTTATGTGGATACTTAACTATGTGCTATAAACACTGGAATAGTGACTTTGATTTTCTTGGAAAATCTTGAGCATAGAGTTAAATGATTTGGATATTAACACCAGAGAGTTAATGCTGCTCCTATTTTCAAGTGATTTTTATTTTATGATTTTGGAAGAGGTATAAAAAAGGATGAATTTGACAGTGAAGTAAAAAGTGCACCTTACATCTGCCTAAAAATTCACATACAGTGGCTACTTTCATGTTAAAAGTAAAGGCAATTCTCTCTTCTCAGTTTTCATTAGTTTTTATAGTTAATGGTATATTTTGTTTCTTCAGATTTTTACTTTTTGATGATGGATTTGAGCTTCCAAGTGAAAAGTTGCTGAAAAATAAAGAAACAATTTTACTTACCTTACTTTTTGAGCCTCTCAATGATGTTTCTATAAAAGAGATAATTTTAAAAGTGATTAAAAATTATCCTTTACAAGTGGTTTAAAATTACTGTTCTGAGCTATGCCATCCTCAGTCACACCAAGCCTACATTCTGCTTACTTCTCTGTCTCACGCTTACCGATCTTCATGGTTCTAGAAGCTCCAGGCTTGGTATTGTAACAGATCCGTTGCAGTTCACATCTTCCGGTCAGCTTCCTCATGACAAATTTCAGGCAGCGCCACAGAAACGTGCAGTAAAAATACAGGCACACCTGGATCAACATTCTGTCAAAGACAAAAGATAGCACCTTCCGCTAGGACTCTGGAAGAGAATAGGAAGCGGCCACCACCAGCAAGAAAAGAGAAGCCCAGAGGAAAATCAGCCATTAGACGTCTGGGTTTACCAGTTTACTTCATTTATCTAATCCCACATTATGTTATTTGAGGTAGCTACAAACCCGTCATTGGGAGGGAAGCCCAGTCTGTGAGGACACACTTACTATGACTGCAAGCAACTCCAGAAAGCCCTGTTCTAGCAAATTTGATATTCCAACTACCTGAGCACAAGGCACTTAAAAACATTTTTGAATAAATCAGCACATTTTAAAATAACCAGGACCCAGAGATGGTCTCTCCCGTAGACAACGGGAAAGAACACGTCCTGGCAACTCCCCTCGCCTGCGTCTGTAGACAGCCGCTCAGCTTGCCTGGATCATCTCCAGCCCATCCTCACTGCCCCTTCTGGCCACTACTTTATTTCTTCCCTGTTTACATTCTTTTCTCCTTCCTTCTGCTTTCCTTTAGGTACTGCTGTCCCCTTGAGGACCTGGTTGTGTGGCTACCTGTCCTCTCTGATGACCAATCCCAACACTTTTTGAACTTGCCAGAAGATGCCTCATCAGTTCACTGAACAAGCTTTTGGTTCTCCAACACCCTCTGATTTAAACCTTCCCCAAACTCCACCTTATGACAAGTTTGTTCTTGACCCCTGCTAAATAAAGTTTCCTTAATTGCACACCCTATCTCCAATAATACCTCAACAGACTATGAAGTAACTTACAATGTCTCTGGCAGGTGAATTTGTGTTTTATGCTGACTTTTATTTTTAATATGTTGGTGCCTACTACTTCATGGTACTGTTCAAAGTCTCAAAATGACTCAAGCTATAGAAATAAAGAGGACTCACAGCCAGAAAGTTATATTCAATCATCTTCTATTAATATTATGTGCTCCTAGTAGGCAGGAATATTTCTATTACTTCCTATTAGTGGCATGTCTAAAAGATGGTTCTTCTGCAATATTCACTAATTCCCTCCAGTTCTAACATAAGGTGATCCAGGATCATTCAGATTAATTAGGGTAGTTAACCAATAGCCTCAATGATGTGATTCATCCCTGAATATGAACCAACACCTTGAGCAAGTTTCCCTTTGTTCAAATTGCTCTGGCCCCAATATCTTGAACAGCCTGTGTTAAAAATAACAATTTCCAAAGGCTAACTTGAACAAAAGAATAGGATCTATCTATAATAATAAAAGCATAATATGGTAATTAGACTGGATGGCCAAACTGCAGAACGACCTTCCAGACGAAGCCGGGGCTGCAAGGGCCGAGCCTCTTGCATGAATTTCAGGCATTGGGCCTCTAGTATCATATAAATGTAAAGGAGATGGAAGAAACAGTAGAAGAAACCAAACTGCTACACTAAAATAACAAAATGGAATCCTTTGTAGGCAATAAAAATATGTTCTACAATGGCTAATAATATGAGAAAATGTTCATAATATGCTTATCAAATAAAAAGAAGTTAGAAAGGCATTGGTATGGGATGATCTATATTTTATTTAAAAAGTAAACAAAAATGTTTAAGGGTGATGTATAAATAAGAAGAAAAAGAATGGCAGGACACACAACAAAATTGTTAACAGTGGTATTTCTGGATAATAAAATTGTGAATAATTTTTATTTTCTTTTTTGGTTAAGTATATTTTCATTTTTTTCTATAAGAAGTATATGTTATTTTAATTTTTATAAAGTTGCAAAAACAAAGTGTATAAAATTATCACCAAAGCCATTATAAAAGTGCCTATAAAATTTATATGGGGAGTCAGATTCTGCTAAAAGACAAAAAATGAATTTACTGTGTTGTGAAGTCTAAAATGCAACTGTTTTAGTTAAATACTAGAGGCCTGGTGCACAAATTCATGCACCAGTGGGGTCCCTCAGCCTGGTCTGCTTGATTGGGCCAAAACGGGCTCTCCAACATCCCCCAAGGGGTCCTGAATTTCGAGAGGATGCAGGGTAGGCCGAGGGACCCCACAGGTGCACGATCAGGGCCAGGGAGGGACACAGGAGGTTGGCCAGCTGGGGAGGGACTGCAGAAGGGCTCCAGGGAGTGTCTGGCCCATCTCACTTAGTTCTGATCGGCCGAACCCCAGCAGCAAGCTAACCTACCAGTTGGAGTGTCTGCCTCCTGGTGGTCAATGCATGTCATAGCAACTGGTCAACCAGTCGATTGTTGCCCCCTGGTGGTCAGTGCACATCACTGGGAGCAGTTGAGTGGCCTTAGCATATCATTAGCATATTATGCTTTGATTGGTTGAATGAATGACCAGACACTTAGCATATTAGGCTTTTATTATATAGGATGTTCCAAGACCTATTAGGATTTAGGTTATTGGCTTACAAAAAAAAAAAAAAGTAATCCTAAAAATAAATTTAGTGGAACATTTTAATTAGAAATTTAATAAACCTCCATTTACTCTCTTGGAAAAGTTTTCAATTTTTCCAACTATTGGATAGCTATGCCCAAGAAAAAGATTAAGCACTATCTCTGTGAACTGGTCACCAGCCAAATGGCAATGATATTAACTGCTGGTGGGCATCATTCTATTACTAAGTCAAGGATAAAAAGCTTCCCATGATATCTATCCTTAGGGTGTCGTGTGCAGTTTCCAGTGCAGTTTGCCTAGAGTGTGGGCCAGCTCCTCAAATGAAGCCTTTTAAGTCCGTGTCAGGACTTCATGATAATCAGGTTCTTGGGGGGCTAAGTCTTCCTAGAGAAGAAAGTTCCAATTACTATTTAAGGTGAACCCCTGTATTCACCCTACTTAGGGTACAAGCCACCAGACTCTCTTATAGCTCACAGAGAACTGCAGAAAGCTTTCCCCCTACAACTTCTCCAACAGATCTATACAAAGATGTGCTTGAGACCTCGAAGTCATCCCAGGTGGCAGAAAGTATGGAGTGACTTATAACCCCTTGGCCTCTTTGGAGTGACTTATAACTCCAGATATGGAGTGACTTATAACCCTTTGGCCTCTTTGTATATGAGAAGAATATGCCTGGGGAACTGTTTTGCATGAAGATAGCCTTACATAAAAGAAGAGAAAAGACATAGTATTCTATTTGCTTTTATCTTTTTTTTTCAACTCCCCTGAGGATGCTGAAGCTGTCAAAGCCAGGAGAACCCAGTGGAAAACTTCAGGGAGGGGCTAGAGATGCTGCATCACTTGTTAGGACTCACCACTATGTGAGGTGTATCACGTGCCTCTCACATAATCACATAAACAACACCACAGATCATGAAGGAGAAATGCCCATTTCAATTATGAAATGAGTTATACACTGCTTCCTTACCCTTTCATAATTCCTGGGCCAGTCGTTCTGATAATGCTATTTATTATCAAGGATATAATTTTTATTGTTTCTTTGGTTGTTTTTTTTTCTAATGGGCCAACATACCCACAAATATTTCATTAAAAGGCCAGCTTGCTATGCCAGGCACTATATTTTCCTGGTATGCTAAAAACTATATTTTTTTTCAAGCCAGACTATTGATCAAACAATGTTTTGACAAATATAATTTATTTTGCATTTAGATCATAAACCTAAAGCTTGGTCAGAGATGGAAACGCCAGGGCTACCTCTTTCTTTGGAAGACTTATTTTGGTAACAGCTTGCTTCCTCATGAAAGGACCAGAGGAGCAAAACCTCCTTAAGAGCATCTCAGATTGGCTGTTCTTCACCATCAAGTGCTGCCAGGAGCTCACTTCTTTTTGAAAAATATATTTTTATTGATTTCAGAGAGGAAGGGAGAGGGAGAGAGAGAGAGATTGAAACATCAGTGATGAAAATCATTGACAGGCTGCTTCCTGCATGCCCCTTGCTGGGGATCGAGCCCACAACCCAGGCATGTGCCCTGACCAGGAACGGAACCATGACCTCCTGGTCAACAAGGAGCTCACTTTTTAAATTCTTGGATCTAGTTAAGTCCCTACATTGGAAAGTTTATGGAAAAACTGCTGAAGGTCCAGAGGAGAAGAGTAAACATCTACACTAATAAAAGAGAAACATGGTAATAAAGTTTATGGAAAAACTGCTGAAGGTCCATAGGAGAACAGTAAACATAATTAAATATTTTGTGAGAATGTTAAATTGGTTTGGCATGTCTACCCTCAAAAGGAAGAAATGAAAGAAATAGATCTTTAAATGCTCTTAAGCTAATCAGTGGCTGGTTTAGGAAAAAAGGGAAGGAAGGAAGGAAGGAAGGAAGGAAGGAAGGAAGG